TGAATCGGCACAGAGCCTTGGTAGGATTTCGGCCTCGGGCGTCCTGTCAGCTGCGGTCTGCAAAAACTTCGAACTGAGGAATGCGGAGACTTTTTTTGCAGAGACTTTTTTTGAGAACAGTTTTGCATTCTTGAGCGAATGCTTAAGCGTTCGGGAACAAAAAATTAATCATAAGGTACACGAATCAGCTAATCACGCTTATAAGGTTCTGTTATTGAAATGCTTCAGTATGTTTGCAGGACAGCGCAGAAATTTACCGATCTGGCCTATGGTATATGCTGGAACTGAGCGATGATGCTGCTGCATGCTCGGAGGACGAGGCATTCGGTCGCGGCCTTGCGACGTCTAAGGCATCAACACTACTGTTATCGTCGCTTATGACGGGTTGCGAACATATGTCCGTGAAGTGGATGTCGCAATAAGCATTCGACAACACGCTCTCGGCATCAAAGCTATTTGTCGCGGAATAGTTGGATCGGCGGCCGAATTGGGAGCGAAACGAGGACGACTCGCGTGAACCTTCAATGCAGCGATTTTGAGGAAACTCCAACATTTCACGCACACAACAGCACTGGTATCCACTTTTAGGTCATTACCAAAGAAGTCTAGTGTTGACGATCCGGTGCTAAAACCGTCAACAAGAAACAATGAAATCAACTGAAAACATTTTGTGAATAAGAAACAGGGCAACCGTTGAAAATTCTTCAGTGAATGCTTATGCAACATCGAAAAATGTTAACGAAGGAATCAGACATGGATAAGAAGCAATTACCATTGGATGATTGCAGTTCTTCCTCAACCGAAGCAAGCATCCTCTGAGGTAAGAAATCGGTTTGCGTGGCTACGTGACTAACACGAGGCGTCGAATCACATACCTGATCCACATATCGCTCCAGTTTTGAATTCGTTACAAATTTATTGAACAGTACTGACCTGAAATTAGACTTTTCAGCTTAGTCGATCAAAAAGTGAAAATGCAAAGAAGGGAAAACGCTGAATAGTTTTTATCAAGTTGCGAGATGTCTTTTTCAGTTACAACATTACTGCAAATGTGACACTTTTCAATTTCACTGTACTAACAGTTCGCCGAAACATCAAATCAGTCGAAGAGTATTCACAGCACGCGTTTGCAAATCAGCTAACAGATACCGCTTCACAGCAAACTATATTTATGCGATACATATTTGACTCACTGAAAGTCATCGTTTGGAGTGTAAAATTTGGCTTTTTCCAATGCTTGCACAGCACGAATGGCCGGAATATGCTGGCGAAGCCGATCTGCCAGATCATACCGATAAATCGGCTTTAACGATTGTAAATCTTCACGGCTAATTCTTGTCCCTGATCCTGAAAGCACAATGTTATTCAGAAAACTCTTCGCAACTTATCATCAGCTGGAGCTTCACCAATCATCATTGTCTAGACACCTGGCTAGTTCTCGTATGTCGCTGGACGTGGGCGACCTAGTCATATCTCCACGGTGTTCTTCGCCTAGCTGGCCAGGTAGCAAATACCCAGAGATGTGGCTAATTGACTTGATTTCCCTCTTCTTCATAACAGTGAAAACAGTGGAGAACAATATCGAGGTCAAGAAAAAATGCACTCATTTTTATGCGTTTTCGTATTATTCAAAGAAACCGAGACGCATTTCGGGAAATTATGCTCGTGTCTAAGCGTACTTGCTCATTCTCGATGTCTGTCTAACCTATATTTTATCCTGGACATTACGAAAACAAGAAGCTAGAATTCCGAGATCGAGGCCAAAACTTGAAATCAAACGCCCTTTCTGTCTTTTCA